TGAATCTCCTGTATTTTTAACCTTTATAAAATCAAATGAAAACCTGCTGGCCATATTTAAAGTGTTTGCTACTTTCTCCTCTGGTAAAGCCGGTGGCAGGAGGCCTATGTAAAAGATGTAGACTGCGCTTCTTGCTCAAGGATTAAAAATGAATACAAGCCACTGAAATATTAGGCCTATACTAGTGGTGAACCATATGAAATTATAATGAATATAGTAACTAAGTAATATTAACAATATATAATAACAGTATAATATGGAATTAACATTGTACTATTATTTATTAAAGTTTCCCTAATCTCATTGTCAGTTATGACTCCTCTCTGTAGCCCACTCTTCCTCTCTCTACTCCTCTCTCCAACCCCTAAAGCCCACAGAACCTTCCTGAGCTTTCCAGAACAAAAAGCGGAGTTTATCATCGACTCATGATGCCTGTGCTCCTTCATCTCTTAAATATTTTGGCTTTTTTGTTTCAGTTTGGTTGAAGTAAGTTTATAAAGATGCAGTTTGTTATGTTTTTGTAGTTTATCCCTCAGGAAAGCTATATTTGTTAAGCTACAAGATGTTCGCAGTAACCAGGTAAAGGCTGCTATAGTTTAAGTCTCTAAGACAGATTGAGTGGAATTTGTTGGCAATAAAATAAAATCATTTCATGATACTTTATCATCTGTTAATTTTAACACTTATTTAATTAGTCCTAAAATAATGTATTAAAATACACAGTATACTGTATATAATGCAACATGATAAATGAAAGGTTTCAGATAGACTCGGTGATCGGTATCGGCCGATACTGCTTTCAGCAATCGGCTCAAAAAATCCTCATTGGAGCACCTCTAATAATAACCCCAGCATACATAACTTCAACGCACTGATATGACCACTGAGAACTTGGGGGAGTGATGTCTGAGTAGCTGCCATAGCAACAGAAGCAGTAGGTGTTGGTTGTTGCAGCAGTGTGTGACGACTGTAGGGCCATACCAATGTGTGTGTTTGCGTACGTTCATGTGGCCATTTACTGAGCGCATGTGCATTTCTCAAACAAAAGGTGGCAAAACTGATCTCACTCTGATTTAATCGCATAACAATTTTTTCTCCTCACATCTCACACATGGCAAGATGAAGAAGTCAATGGCTGACGCTGTTTGAGAGTCAAAGTTAAAAGCTGGCTTACAGACAGGCCCACAGGTCTCAGACTTCAGACAAGCAGGGTAGCTTTAACAAGCTAACTCAATTTAGCAGTCAGCTGCTGATGGGATCCACACAGGGCCAGATTAGCCTGTCAAACACAGACCAGTTTGCACACAGCAGTGAACTACCACTAACATGATCGCTCTCTCTCTCTCTCTCTCCTGATTCTTGTTTGGTGACATGCGGCTTACAGTAGGTGATTTAATACTGTACAATCAACACTGTATTTGGCGGGTAGATGACAGGTAACCGACACGAACAATGGACCGTGTTTGGGGCCACGTAGCAAATGAGCAATAAATCAATATAATATGATCAGAATACAATGAGTCAACATGATACCTTGAGAATAGGCAGACTGGAAAGGTAGCATGGTGGTGTAGTAGAAGCCAGGTGCTGCAGTGCAACAGACAGAGTAGCAGCTGAGTGAAATTCCCAATAATCAACACATGTATGGTTTGCATGTGCTTCCCAAAAGAAAAATACAAAGGTTCAGAAGGGGATACTGGTTCCAGACAAAAGCTGTCATCCTACAAGTACAGGTGGTACAGCAGTCACACTGGTTGGGTCATTCTGTGGTACAGCAGCGAGTATGGCTGATTGGCATTAAATGTAACGTGTGCTCTGTAACGAAGACAAGAACTTTATCTAAAATCGTCCACTGCACCATGTGTTTGTCTTGTGTTACCTGGTGTCTGGTGAGAATTATTATTATATTAAATGTATCCCACAATGTAATGTAATAAAGTAGTGGAAACTAACTGCTGACTAAAGCAGCAACTACCATTATGCACTTCGCAGACTGAAACAAGACTGAAGGACTAAAGGACTGACCAAAGTAGTGTCCGAATATTGTTTTACTGATCTGACCCAGTATACTGTCCACTATAAAATATACAAGTGAACGATTTTGGACACTGCTCTAGTTCAAGCCCACTTGACCAATGACAACCTTCCTTAAAGTGAGGACAAAAGACATTTTATTCGAAAGTGTAGGGTTTGCCCAAAATACTGTGTATAATTCTCAGATTTACATCCTAAAACATATACCTAAAAAGGTTTAACACAAAAATACAGACATAGTCTCTAATGATACTAATGACACTTCCAAGTAAAAAGTAAACCAGTAGTCAAGTAGTATCAGTAGTCAAATGACAATCAGAAGAGCTTCATGAGGCTGAGAACCATCTTTCCAGTGCTAAAAACAAATTAGAAAAAAATCAATTCAGCTATGCCATAAAAGTGCATTAGAATAGCTGCAGTGAACATACTATGTCCATGTTCCTCTTTGCCGTTTACATCTCTGGTTAAAAAAAGCCAATACGCATAGCGCATGTGGGTAAATCTTAAAAAGATCAATTTCTACTAATGTGCTTATATTGCCATTTAGGCAGAGGATCCTCTTTCTGCTGATAAGGCAAAAGGGCCTTTCTAGGGTTAGTGCATATCCGGGGTTTAGAATTCTTTCTTACATTGTGTTTATATATTACAATCTGTCTACACGTTCATGAAGAAACAACGCACATACATGTCGCTGCCAACTGTTATACTATGGTGAAGTTCTCAATTTCAGTGAACACTTTTTAAAACTTTTACAACTACAACAATTCCTTTAAAAACACATTGGTTCTTATGGAGTTATGATCGGGGTTTACTGCAAAAAATGCCATACACAATGTACACTAAAGATTCAGGGCTTTGCAGAAAACATTCAAGACTTAAGCCCCATAAGCCCACCCCTGGCGCTGCCTATGATTAAGTAACCACTAGCCACAGCTGCATTTGAAAGAGTATGTGATACAACATTTGAATTAAAATGGAATCAGTTGTAGCCCTGAATATTTATACATATTAGAGGAGGTGGAACAAACAGGCCAGGGATGTCGCAGATCCCCCTCTTTGATGACTCATCACTGAAGTCGCATCAGAAGCAGTCAATTTCCCAGAACAAGTGCTCTTTGAACAGACAGCTTCAGTCATCCTCAGTGCAGTGGCGTCAGGCAAGCTGGGGCCGTTACTTGACCAGACTGAAGTGAGTCTATCTGACCATACCCAAAGAGGTGGAAGTAAACATGTTATACTGGACTGTGAATGGGTTCTCTGCAACAAGAACAGCATATGTACATGTACATACCTGCTATCTATCCAGAAACTTGGCATGCCTTCAATTTGACTCCCAGACCTCAAACACTGAGAAACAGTGAGATGTGGTGAAAAGGTGTAATGTGTTTCCATATCACTATAGACAGTACAATGTGTCCAGATACTTCAGTGAACCTGCTTGAGTTGTAGCCACAAATGCTGTATTTGACAGGTTTTAAGTAGTCCGGATTCTAAAATCCAGCAAACATTCCAGATGTTTTGCTTTACCTCATCACAAATGAGCATCTGAAAAGGAGGCGCATAACGTTGTGTCTCTGTGGATGATGAAGACTCGTCTCGGTAAGCTCGTTAGCGAGCTAGCTTCATGTTAAAGCCATGTTACTTCACGTTATGAGCTGAAACGTTTTCTATATAGTTCGTCAATTTGATTGATTGTTACAGTAATGGCGCTGAGAGTAGCACATAATTATGATACACAACGGCCGCGTTCACATTCTAGATGTGCCCTGACTTTACAATCATAAACGATGCATCACTCATGGCGACGTTCCCAGCTGGAGAACGTGTTGCTGCAGAGTGCACAAGATTAGACAACACCGGACAATTTCATACTTTCTAAAAAAGAGAAAACAGTTCTCCTGTCTGTGCATGAGGCGGCGGGTAATCCGCCCCAAACTCCCTTAAAAAAATAATAAATCACGGAGTTTTGTGAGTTGTTGAGTTAGGGGAAACTATATAAATGTTGTGAAACACTGTCTACAACAAAATCGTTGATCCCCTCTTGTAAATTCGGCAAATGTAATGCATGAAGTTATTCCTTTCTTTGTATACAGGGTCAGTACTGGCGAAAGCTGCTCCGTCACTAAACAGTAGATTAGCTGCTTATCAGGAACGTGATTTCAGTGGAAATTTCTGTTGCTGCAGCAGAAGCGTTCATTAAAAGATGCATTTTTGAATGCAGTATTTATTTTATTGTCTTGACTGTTAATTAGCACATGCCTAAAACAACCTCAGGTTTAATTTAAAGGCTAATAGCTAAATGAGAGGCATTGTGTCGTTTTGCCATTCATAATCCAAATAGTCGATTATTCGTTTCAATAATCGATAGATTAATCGACTATCAAAATAGTCGTTAGTTGCAGCCCTAGTTCAGACACATTAGGCTCACAAGTTCATCCCTTGTCCCCTCTTGTCACTTGACAAATTTATCTTTGTGTTATTCCGAGCTTGTCAGTTGACACTGTACAGTATCCGAGCGTATATCTGCGTGTGAAGTGACTCAAACAAAAGACACAATAAATGATTGTAGATAAATGCCTTTGGACGGGCCAATAGAGTTGCAGTGGTTATTGGCTAAACCAGCATGGCTAGTGCAGGATTTCACATCAAGGTGCCAACACAAACATGCCACTGATGATGCTGCCATTTCTGGAACTCCCTGTCACACAATCACACTGCTAAACACAACCACATGCACAGCAACAATCCAATAAAACTACCAAAACAAGTTAATACTTGTACTGGTCGCTCACAGCTAATGGTTGGGAATAAAAAACATGAATAACTCATAATTACACTACAGGCTTATAAGATCAAAAATAATGTTCTCTTGGCCCTTTAGGGTAAAACAGTATTTCAAGCACCCACCAGAAAAACACTACAGTATCTTAAACCAGCTCATCAAGTGAGTCGCACTTCATACGCACCTTTATTGGCACATAACGTAATTATTTACCTAGAGCAATAAAATGAAAACAAGCACGTAATCAGTTACAATGTGAGGGCTGCAAATATGTTATCACAACAAAACATTATTGACCAAATATTGCGCATAAGCAAAGGTTGATATGCCAATCACTATTTACACCACTTAATTCCATCAATTGTAGACTAGCAGATTGATGTAACATTAAATGAAACGTTAAACTGGCAAATTGTCCAGAAAAATACAAGGTAAAAACAAGTAACGTCAATAACTAACCTGGCGCAACATCAGCACTTCCGATAATTTCATAATCACCACCATCAAGATAATACAAATATATTTTCCAAAATGGTTTTCATCTCTAATAACAAAAGCTATAGTCAGTTGTCTCTAACTGAAAATGCTGCTAGCTATCCAGCTAGCGAAGTTCACAGTTGTCAAAGTGATGTCTACACGTTAGCGGGTGACTAGCCAATGTTAGTATGCGAAATGTTATTAAAACGTTGCTTATTCGAAGTACCAGACGTTACTTACTTTGTAGGTAATGAACTATCTCTGTCACTGCTTCTTCTTGTGGCTTCAGTGGCAGATAGGTTAAAGTACCCCGGCTTGTTGCGATAAGCTTATCTCTCGTTAATGTTAGCCACTTTCGTTTCTCGGCCCGTCAGCTAGCTTTGATTAGGCTAGCCAGCATTTCACACGACCAGTTCTCCTTTCAGCATGTCTCTGCATCGGAATAAAGCTTTTATATACATGTTTGGCACTGTAAACCAGGGAGCACCAAATCAATAACGGTTAGGTAGGCTGTTAGTTGAAAAGAAAAACACTCGTTTCGGCAAGATATCTCTATGATTTCAACAGCTGGCTAATTTTGGCTAAAGCTAAATGTATGAAGCAAATGACGTTCTTTTTCAACATTCAGTTTGGGGGCGAGGCAACTATCTTTCTCTCCTATGATTGGACAAACGCTCATTCGACGCCAAGACACGATTGGTCAAATTATGAGTCAATCATCTCTCTCTGACATACTGTAAACAGAAAAAATAAAGTTGCTTGATTGCCCTTATAGACTACTCTTTGCTGATGTGTGTGTCAGTGTGTGAAGAGAAATGATTTCCAAACTTTTGTATATACACACACACACACAGCCGCTGTGACTTTTTGAATTCTCCATATACATTACCATATACCAGTCAAGGTAGGTTTAGCCTATTTGCCACATTACAACAGGTTGTAAAGTGAAAGTAAGTTAACTCCCTTCTGCTAAGCAGATAATATACATTAATACAAATGCAATAATAAGATGGTAGACAGAAATAAACTATATTCAATGGAGCAGAGCTGAGGATTTTTTAAGGCATACATATTAAATTAATAAACCTTAATAGTGGCTGCAACCCATTATGTTTTTGTAAGTTCCAGAGCCCTACCATTTTGACACTTGGATAGGCAACAGAAAATGGTTAGACATTTCTTCTGATGAAGCATGCATCTTCACTTCCTGTGGCTGGAGTGGACATTTGTGAAAATGATTGGATATAACTGGATATTACACACAGTGTTTTGTGGACATGATCCACTACAATGATTCCACTACAATAACGAGTTCTACTCCCTTTTCAGGTGCAGTTGAGAATGAAGGCCCAGTTCGAAGATGGGTGTGTTCCGATCAATGAATATTCGTGTAATCTTACATTGCAAAACTTAAGCCTTAATATTGGAAAGTTAACATAGAATCGTAGCCTGGCATTGCCAGATTAATTCGCAAATGTGAATTAGTCTGGAACTTCTCATTTCATTTTCGATTTTTCTAGGGGCCTTGTCAATGGGCGCAGGCCAAATGAAACATGAGCTCGGCAGATTCATCTGGTTCCCACTGTAACTGAATCCCATCATATTCCCATGAAGTAAGTGGTGTGTTAGGTGTGTGTCAGTGCCCATTTTCAGATGTGAAATTAAAACTGACTTTATGCAAGGGTTTGAGGAAGTATTTCCATAATGTGTGAGATCTTTCTTGATTGTGTGAAGCACAGGTTAGAAAAGAAGGACCTTTTTAGACCAACTAATTTTATTCACTATCACGGGGACTATGAATTTTCTCAAAGTATCTTCTGTTTATGCTTCTTGTGTTGTTATGAGTCACATCCAAAATCCTAAAGACAGTTTAACCCCATAATTTAAGCATGGTACCATAAATACACTTTCATAGTTCAAATTGGATTCACAAGTTTAAACCACTGTCCTAAACTTGCGAATCCTGTATTATATAACCTGTAATATATAAATCTTAAAGCGACATAATGTAGTAATTGTATCTTAAAATAACAGCTTCATAATCATTTTGATGGTACACTGACTTGACCCCTCCCATCCCAGTCACAAACTGTTTCAGACTCTCCCCTCTGGCAAGAGGCTGCGGTCCATCAGGACCAAAACCTCTCGCCACAAAAACAGCTTCTACCAGTCTGCAGCTAGACTCATCAACAAGGCCCAGGCCCCCCACTGACACATATTTGTTGTTAATTGTTATTTTTTAAATTTTTTTTATATTGTCAGTTGGATTATTTTTCTCTATTATTCTGTTATCCTTATATAACTTGCATTTGTTCATTACATATTTTTATATTTCTACATTTATTTATGTCAGCTGTATGTTTGTCTGCATGTAGCACCTTAACACCAAAGCATATTCCTTGTATGTGTAAACACTACTTGGCAATAAAGCTCCTTCTGATTCTGATTCTGCTTCTAATTCTGATTGAAGTATTAAATGTACAATGTAAGTTCTTTGGAAGAAGCTAGCTCAGATTCTCCATATATCCTGGCAGAGGCTGCAAAGAGACTGAAAACTACTTTGGTGGAGGAAGTGAGGGAGAGAAAAGACGAGAGTGGCCAAGCAAGAGACCAGACTGGCTTTTACTCGTTGACGTGAGCTTAAAGAGCTGAAAGGAAGCAAGACAGATGCCAAGCTGGCCTTCTTTATGTTGGACTACTAAGTAACATTGCTAAGTCTTGGTTTTGTCGCACTTGCTTGATCAAGTTGGGGACTTCCTAGTTTTTAAGAGCAATGAATTACACTCTGCAAAATCTAAGAGCTCCAAATCACACCAAATCTAACATAATGTTGATATAATGTTAGATCTTATATAAATAATGATATATGCTCACCATAGATGTAAAAAAGGCTCCCTCTGCACATTAGCTACAGTAGCTTGGAAAATAGCAATATGGAGCACTGAATTTGATAAATTCACTTTTTATTAGACCATAAATGAGACAAGAACTGTCTAGCTAGCTAGCTAGTGATATTATCTAACTGTATGTTCAGTGGGTTACTAGTGTTAAGTAATGGGAAGGACCATGATATAACAGTTTGTACAGAGGCTGTGTATTGTGTATTCTTAGCTTATCATTTAGAAAGTTATAAGTGGCAGGGGATACATTTCTTCACGATAATTGAATTTGCCTCTATAGCTAGCTGTTAAAATGACAGAAAGTTGCCTTCTTTATTAGCTTATTGGAATGCAATCAGTTCAAAGGCCTTTAGTAATGTTAACTTATTAAACGCAGACTTGCAAGTCCATTGGAGGGGTGTTTTTTACATGTTAAAATTGTGTGTATCAATTACTTTATGTGACCACATAACATTGCTTTAATTGGCAATAGAAACACAAAGTCTGGTGGCATCCACAAATTTTCCTCCCAGAGTGTGAAATGTTTTGAAACTCAGCAGTTCACAGAACAACAACAGTGACTTAGGAGGGAATCTGGGCATTTGAGGATGCTATTAAAGTCAAGAAGTGTATTTATTTATATGAAGGAGGTAAAGTTAACAACGCTTTTTTGTAAGTAATGTTCAAGCATATCAAACTATGCATGATATGTATTATTATAATGTTTCTTGAGGAGCACATAGTTTTTAACAGCCAGATTATATTATAAATACAGAATAGTGCTATATATTGCTTCCTTCTCTCTGATCTCTTTGAGAATTGCTCAGCATTGCCCATCCACTGTCCCAGGACACATACTGTATCAGCTTAACAAGCAAATTATTACAGAGTGCAAAATGAATCACAATGAGAGAGAAAATACCCTTTCCTGATGCTTTTTTCCCTAGAATATGGCTGCAGCTTGGCTATGAAATCCACACCCCTTGAAAGAATATTAGAATAAGAGAATAAGAGTTCCTGTTTCAACAAAATAATACTAGCAGAATTTTTGAAACACGCTCTCCACCTGTGGACCACTTTATTGTTCACTTCTTTTCTTCTGCTAAAGATGATATTGTGAAACGGATCTTCAGTTGACTAATATGCAGGCCCACCCACAGAAATGACTGGGCCCCTGAAAAGGTCCAGTAAATGGACTCTCTGCAAATCTGCTTTACTCATGTCAATGCATGCTGTGCTCTCTCTCTCTATCTCCTACATAAACACATACATGGCCTGCCACAGGCGGTGCACTTTTGATGTTTTGACATAGTGTACAACAAACATTACTCCATACCATACTATTGTTAAGGAGAGAGGATTTTTAGTATGAAACAGGCTACATTTTACTAAAGCAACATTAAATAAAACATTACATAAAATGCAATTTTCTTTTCTTATTTTAATGATTAATGGTGAGTATTTGCTTTAAAATAAAATTTGGTTATCTTTAATTATATTTTGTATGTACATCATTAATTAGTGCAGGAGCACCTAGCGGCTGGTCCCCAGAAAGCTTTCCCTTTTTCCCCCCTTATGCTAATATGAGCAACACTTTAACAGCAATTGTCCATATAAATAACTCCATGTGTGTATTGCAGATGATAAGCATCTACCTCAAATGTTTTCCCTGCATATTGGCGCTATTATATTCCCATGCATATTCATGTGCTCACTCTGATGGATTCATTTACTGATGGGTTAACAACTCCTGCACCAGGCACTTGTTTATTTTGCCACCTAGACATTACATGAATGAGACAACACACACAAGCTTTATGTTGAAGGAGGCCAACAAGATGGAATGTTGAATTGTTTTTTTAATCAAATATTTAATACATGAAAGAGAATCATTATTTTTCTTGACATATCCACAACAAGTTAGTAGAGTAAACACTGAGATAAGTGCCTATGCTGCTTTCTCTCTGCTTGTATGAAATCACCCCATGTCTGATCCTTTCCGCAGAGTGCGGCAATCACGCCTTGCCTTGCCCTGCCCTCCACTCTTCAACACAAGAGCACTTGAAAAGCTGATTTCCTGCTCCTCAGAGGGAGCTGGTTTCTTTTGTCAACTGAGGAGCCAGGTCAAAACAATAATTGCAGGCAAATTGTGCCTGAAAATATACAATGCTCATTTGATTTACATGTCATTTTCAAAAGTCAGCTCTCCAAGCCTCCTTAACAGCTCACAATGCTACATTAGGACTTTATCAAATGTTTATGAGGGCAAATCAATTTCCAGGGTATATTGTATAGAGCGTTTGTGTGTGAGAGAGAGGAAAAGAGAATGTAAACCACAACCATACACTTATACATACATATTAATGCATGTAATGTGAGGGGGCAAGCTGCTCCCCATGCTTAATGGGATTAGAGTCATTAACCAACTGTTTACTAAATGGGAAAGGACCTCTCTTCCTTGCTTTGTCTCTCACTCTCCTCACTCAGTAATATTTCTCTCTCTCTCTCTCTCTGATCCTTAATCAGCGAGACGGCCTAGAAGTGCCTCGGGGCTGAATACGAATGAGCGCAGCTGCCCAGTCCGGATTACTATCACACACACAGGCTTGCACTAGATGTACAAATTCTCACACACACACACACACACACACACACACGCACATGCAGAGAAAACAGTGCAAGTAAACATTGTGGGCTATGTGTGGACACATTTCATTCATACCCAACACTTGCTGACACATGTGTTTTCCAAGCATATGTCCTACTATGAATATATCTCACACATGCACACACACACACACACACACACACACACACACACACACACACACGCACGTGCACAGAAGTCCACACACAGACTGTTCTGATCACATGCCTGTCATGTCCAGTAGCAGACGTACTGGGACACACCCACTACTTTTAGTGTGTCACAAGAACATGTGTGCACATGGCCTGTCTATTCGTACCAGGAGGGCATGTACTGCGGCCATATGTCGCCACTCATCAGCAAGAGACATTGTAGGACCAGCTTTATGGGATGAGATAAACGTCATGGTGAAATTTGGATAAACAGACTTTTGCAGCTGTAATAATGTCAGGCTTATTGTCTCTTCCACTAAACCACATTTGAAGACATAATTTAACGCTCTTCTGTACTTTATTTGGAGCTGAAGTTGAGGATTTCATACAACCACAGTCACTGGCCACTGAGCAGCTCCACCCAAATAGTTGGGCATTAATGCAAAGAATGTCAAGCTACTGATTCCCTAGTCAAGAATTGGACCGACAACCCTGCAATCACAAGTCTGCTTCTGTAAACTTCGAACTGCAGTGGCCTGAACTGAAGACCTAAGACAGAATCCCATGCAGTGCAGTAAGGTTTAAGTGTAATTACAATGGTGCTATAATGCACTGCTATAGAAAGGTTGTCCCGAGTTGAGTCCACCCACTGTGCTGGGTCAGAGATGAATGGTTGCTGTGGATCATCAGTAGTATCGTACCGCCATCTAGTGGGAGACAATGGTACTGTCGCCGAACACATGGGAGAGACAGATGGAACAAGAAAAACAGGGATAGAGAGGAAGATAGCAATAGAGGAAAAGACAAGTTTGATTCTGATAACAACTGATTGCAAAATTGATGCTTTCAAAAGTCTTATGAATTCACTGGGTGTACGGTAGGAAACTCTTAATTTCACTATGTTCAGTCAGAGATTCAGGTACTTCAAATTTCCTGACAGGTGGGTGGACATGTATTGAAGAGAGCCTGCTGTAGGCTTTGTCAACCAACCATTGTGTCTACTTAAATAGTTCTGCTGTTGGAGTGGAAAGGTACTAAAGTCCTCATCTAATTTACTAAACCCCTCCCTCATATGAATGTGATATTTATATTACATGTTTTCTACATCTGTAACTGTGCTCTACATAGTTCAAATCATTAATTTTTTCTCTCTGCATTGAAGTGGTTTCCAACTGGTTCATTTTGTCATTACAGTCATGAAATAAGCACGTCTAGAAAGAAATCAAGAATACTCCGTGGGGGTCTTGCTGTAACTTGGCTAGTGCACAGTACCTAGTGACAAAAACAACCTGAATGGCCATTGAAATGGCAATAAATGGATTGATTTACTGAGTGGGCTGTGTGCCAAGGTGACCCAGGGAACTCATGCAATCTTCGTTTTCTCTCCGAGATCCCTCAGTGATCTTTCTTTAACTGATATTGGGAGAAGAGTTCAGCTAGAAGAAATCTTTTAACAAAGCAAGGACGATCTTCTCCCTGAGCAGGCAGAGAGAAGGCCACCACCCTCTGTTTCTGCGTTTACCTCATCTTCATAGTGTCCCAGCTCTTTCTCTGCCTGCATTTCTGCTTGGCCCTAAGCTTGTAGTGTCACGTCAATCTTACCCAAGGCAACACACCAAGGTAGATTTGTTTTGGCTTTATGGAGATGGAGGATTCAAGGAAAGGGGGCGAGGTATCGTAAAAAAAGAAAAGGAAAATTATTCATGAAGCAAACGAGTAAGAGTATTGAGGTGATGAGGTCAGTCTTTTATTTTTTGTCATTGTAGATGACCTATGTGTCATTTCTGCACCTCATGTCAGGAAGCATTCACTCTGTTGAAGTGTCTTTTGTGTAAAAACATTAAATCAGTATGTAATAGCCCCTATCAGAGGTCTCTGATGACTTTACTGGATTGGGTCAAGAATCAGAAGAATTTCTCCACAGTATTCTGTTCATCAGCAATAAATCCACTTTAATATTTACAACTTGCTGCATTTTGGAGCAGAAGTTGGGATTTAGTCTCTTTTTCTAAACAGGATTTTATTAATGCCTGGTCCTGTCCTACAAAGCTCAACAGTAAGATAGCACACTCTGCAACATTATACTACAGGGAAAATAATCTTCTTATGTTTCACAAAAACATCTCAGTAAATTACAATGTTTTATTGTAATGGACTTATGCTAAAATTAACAAACTTTAAGCTGGCAAGCTGCTATGTAGGATGGTCAAATGTATGGTAAAAGAGTAGCACTGTGAGATCCTAGCTTACCTTACCACAGAATGGGGTACATGTCCATTATTGATGACGTCATTAAAAAATGCACAAGGACAAAATAGGCAGTGCTGTGGAGGGTTTTCAGTAATAATGATATGTGTAGACGTGTGTGTTTGTGTGTTTGTGTGTGTGTGTGTGTGTGTGTGTGTGTGTGTGTGTGTGTGTGTGTGTGTGTGCCCTAGATCCTGATTTGATGAGAGGATTACAGACAAACTTTTATAAACTTTCCAACTGTACTGTATTTTTATACATACACACATACACATAAAATTTTAGTATGTCAGAATTATACTGTATGTAGTATAACAAGTAATTTAATACTAGCAGTTAAATGTTCCGTCATTATTTACAGTTCCACTGAATATGTATACATAAGTAACTTTTATGCATCTTAATCTCAGTGTAAATTTCCATTCAAGTATGTGCGTTTGTGTGTGTGTGTTGTGGTGTCAGCCCAGTGCAGTGTGATCTAACAGCAGCTGACAGGCAGGTTTGAGGCCTCTCTCTAGGGTCCTCAGTGTGTGTTTGTGTATGTGTGTGTCTGTGTGTGTGTGTCCTGCTCTAGTGGTGTGTGCTAATTGGAAGCTCAGCGGGACAGGCAGCAGGTCTTCTGTAGTGCCCATGTGCACATGTAGAATCATACACACTCTCTCTATCTCACATACTCACACACACACACACACACAGAGCTCAACTGCAGTCTGGTCCGTTAGCCTTTCTACATTTAACATGAGTCCAGTCTGCAGCCTCTTCACTTATTCATCCCTCTTCACCTCCTCCTCAACCACCTCTCGCCTGCACTAACCTGAAACGACAGCTGTGCTGTGGCCAATAGAGACCTGCCCGCCTCCCCTGTCTCACTGGACAACAGAAACATTCACACACACCGCCAAGTAGCTATGCAGGCATTTTCAGAAGAAGAGAAGAGAAGAGAAAAGAAGGGTTTGTGTGGGATCAATGGTGTACAAGAGAAGGGGGTGATGTGGTGTGTGTGGGAGATCGATAGTGTGCCCAGTGGTGTGTGAATGTGTTATTTACCTGAACAGGCTGGGGACCGAAGAGATGAGATATTCACCTTCTCCTGAGAAATCCCACAACACAGACTCTTACATGCACGCATGAAAACATATGCAGAAATGCACACATAGACACAGAGAAGAGCATGTACACATTACTACTGTAAAGAAAACTACACCGTAAAAAATAAAACATGTGGAGGAGAGGTGAAAAGTGAGAGTTGAGGTTTGGTGTAGTGATCATTGGTTCCGGTCATTCTCTTCTCCAATCCCACAGTTCAACACACAGAAACACATATTTATACATATACATGTGAACTGGTATTACGGACATATGAAAACTCTGGGACAGGCATGAATAATTAACACTTTACTGATCCTTAAAGGAACTACTCTCTTGACCTCTGTCAACAGATGTTACAGAGCCAGGTCAGCATCTCTGGAGCTGGCGGGGCTTCAGTGGCTTGCTTAAAGACACTTCAGCACTTTAGATACATCAGATGTTTGGTAAAGAACCAGATCATCCTCTGTTAGGTTTTGCATATTTTGAACCCAGAAGCAGACTCAGACACAGGCAGTTGAGACTAACAAAAATATATATTTATTGTAAATGGGAGCGGGGAAGGAAGGTGGAGAGAGCTGAGATGTTGTTGGTGAAGGCAGAGGGTGGTAAGCAGTGGCTGAAGGAGCAAGCTGGATGAATGAGAGTGGCTGGCATGGCTTGCTGGTGTTCATTTGGATAGGCAGGTTGAGAGCAAGCAGGTGAGCATGGTCCTGAAGCACAAAGAAAGACAGAATTAAGCAGTTGAATCACATAACAGGATGATAACAAGAAAAACTGAAAAAAAAACTGAGTAAGGCCTGAGAGGTACCTACCACAGTAGCTGACTAAACAATCTAGCGATAAGTGGGTGAAGAGCCAGTGTAAATTTAGACTGCAGCATGATGAGACTGATGAGAACCAGGTGTGCTTGATTAGCAGACAGGGAGCCTGGAGAGGGAGAGTGGAGATCACCGTGCCCACCTACAGACACAGAGAGACAGAAAAACATGCAAAGGAAGCAGGGGAAGGGAGAAAAAGACGAAGACCATTGCATATTGCACAGTGAAGGCTGTGACCATGACACCCTTGTGAAAAAGGAAATACAAACTTTTGGTGTTTCACCATGTGGGCTTCTCTTTGACAGAAGAATATGTGTCTAAAATAATAGAATCTAAAATTTCAAAGATAAAATCTTTATCAAATTCATTGAATGTATAAAATATTATGGTTTTGGTTCTGTGTTTCAACATGGCACTCCATTGTGTGTGTGCGTGTGCGTGTGCATGTGCACGCTGTATGTGTGTATCAGGGATTGGATGTCAGTTACTTTACAGCATGTCTGACAGCCAGCATATGATCCTGAGATAGCGTGACAGCTGCCTTCACACCCCTCTCAACATACACATGCACACACGCATACATATACATACACGCAAATACATGAACGTGCACTGTGAATGACAGCTTTGCCACCCTGTGACATTCCTGCTGCATCCACCTGCAGCCAACAGGCCCAAGGATAGAGAGGTGGAAGTGACGAGGACAAGACGAGGTTGGGATTAAGAGTGTTACTTGAGGCCAGACAGGAGACAGATACAGGGATGGACAAGACACCAAAGGGCTGGTGGAAGGATGGATGGATGGATGGGTGGGTGTCAAAGGTCAGGAAGGATCTAAGCGAAGCTAGGAGAGGGAGGAAACAAGAAAAAATGGGAGGAAAAAGTAGAGAGAAAAAGAGAAAAGGCAGAAAGAATAGATATTCTACCAGTAAGAGCTGGACAAATATTTATCAATGATAGTAGCCTATACTGAAGATAGTGAGCACCCCCAGCCCTCGTCCCCCGGGAAATAGAGACCCTCTAACTGATAAGTGCCAGAGATTGGGGGGGTTGAATGCTGGTGGTGGGAGTGTAGTATCCATTGTTGAGGAGCCTTCATCTGACAATGGCAGGCGACGTCCTCCTCAGTGCTTCCTAATGCAACAAGACACGTCTGACATTCCACACCACATTAATCAAAAGAGAGCTCTGGACTTCATGCATGTGTGGTCAAACAAACATATGTGAAGCACACACCCACACACACACACACACACACACACAACAAGGGTTAAGGGGACATGAAGAAAATTACAGAAAAACAAAAAGCATTAGGGTTGAGGCAGATTTGTATGAATTATTTTCCCCATTAGTTTGCTCTGTATCATTTTGTTGACCTCTTCTTCTTTCCCTGCGTACCATTTGTCATGGTTGAGAAGGCCTGTGTCTCCTCTGACAATGACATGCATGTTTTTGACATAGTCATTGGTCCACATGCTTGTTTGTTAGCATCTCTCTGTCCTCTTCCATTCATTCAGTCCTCCAGAGTTGGCGCAGTGACAATTTGTGGAATATAAAACTTGATTTGATTTCCAGACAGCCGTGAGAAAGGCCCTCAACAGGCTCTCGCAAGGTGAAAATCAAGGGGAAAAAAATACAAACCTGGGCTGCTTGTGCTATAAAGATGAAATGGCCGGAAGAGATTAGAGCAGAGAAAGATTTGCTTTTGTGTAGAAAACTGTGAAAAGAAAGCTTCCATAAAATTTCAACGCAGAAGAAAGCTGCACTCCAGCAAAGTATTCTCACCTGCCAGCAGAATTCACATTAGAGACTCTGTCAAAAGTTCATAAAAGCACATGACACACCTAAAAACCCAGAACAGGCATTTTAAAACCTGAGACATTGTGAATGGGAGCCACTGTACCGACATTAAGGCTTTAAGTACACACAGAAACACACTAATATGCATTGGGGAGCTATTAATGAATATGTTCAGGCATTAGCAGGTGCTTAAAACATTGTAGATGTTTTTGGTGTCCTACTTTAACAAAGACTATAAATACATACTAAAACTACAGACACACATGCAGAGAACCCCGTGCTGTGCTTGGGGGCAGGCTCACCGTAGGCCTTTTCTCAAAGCAGAGGTGATATGTCCTGGTCCACTAATGTCAACATCGCAGCCAGGGTCGGAGAGCCTGTCAAACACACTAACACACAACCTTTTCCACCTAACGCTAACACAGTAAGAGTATGTGATTATGTGCATCCCCAAAATGCCAAGTGCCCCTCTGTCCCTTCTCAATATTTGAAATATTTGAGTTCCTCCATTGTGTGGCCTTACCTTGCCTATAAAGTAAACATGCAGACAACAGATTGTTTCATGCTTTCACTTTATTCAAGTTTCGGTATCTGATCAGCTTTGATGCTCACAAAAAACTTCACGATATTTTAAAAAAGTATACCTGTAAATTAATCAGCGTGACTAATGCCATCTTAATTTACAGTATATAAAAATAAGCTCAGGTGATTGTGGACAGGGTCACCGCTATGCACTGACTTACACCTTTATTCATTGGTTTCCCCAATTTAAAAAAATATCTGCAGTGTGGTACACATAGAATAGTGTGTTTGTGTTTTGCTAAACATATTATGCTAAACATGCCATGAATATATGTCAAGCTTCAAATGTCAAGCTACAGTAAGGCAGGAACGCACAGGCAGATAGTAAATAACTTAGAACACACATCAGGCACTGGAGATAGCATGCGGTGAAGGCATGTAGGCGTTGGAGCGTGTAGGATTTTCCCTGCTAATATGGATATAATGATGTGACTATAATTATATCAGCATCACTGTGTGAGTGTCTGCCTGATCACAGGAGCGGTTGTTTTGCTGATCTGCTAGACAATTCTTCGTGACTCACTCCTAATGAAAGAGAAAGTTAAAGATAGACAGAGGTAACAAGAGATAGATAGAGGTTGATAAACAAGAGGAGACAATGGCTAGTGTGTTGTTTTGACTGCGCTGAGAGGGAAGTGAAGCCGACAGTGAGTTGGCCTACATTCATGTAGCTTTATGTGTGAGGGGAAACAGAGAGACAGCCCTGTGTCTACCTAATTATTCATCCACACACACACACACACAGAGTGTGTGGAATGTTGTGAGGTGTGTTTGTGTGTGCACATATACCGTGTACTGTGCATGATGATGCATAATCTAGATCCATGATTCCCAACCAGGGTTCTTGTACCTCAGGGAGAAGTACAGTTACTTGCGGGGAAAAAGTAGCACAGTTAATTTGAAAAAATACAAATAAAACAACTGAATACTATGTGTTGTGATTGCAAGTGTGAAATTAGCAGAGAAATCTATGTTACATCAAAGTAATGCATAGTTGAAAATGGCTAAACAGTTGAAATAGCTAAAAGTCATGGACAAATGGTTAAAATAAAGCTAAAAGTCAGGGATGATTGGTTGAAGTCCAGCTTCTGCCTCTCCAAGTGTTGCATTTTAGTTACATTTTATAAAAACAATATTGTTTATAAAAATAAAAGCCTTAACATTGAGTTTAAAATCAATGCAAATGCACACATTTTGAACATGACAGGTGGTGTCAATGAAAGGGTTCTTGAGTTCAACTGTCAGGACTGCGGGCGTCCGTCAGACAAAAAAATGTTGGGACAAGTGATCTAGATTGTGTATGTGTGTGTGTGTGTGTGTACATACATCAGTGTCTAGATAACGCAATGTCACTCTCTTTTTTTCCAAGGTGACATACTTGATAACATTTTCACTTTCAGAAGTAGTATTAATCTCCATCAAACGTCCCAAAAGACAAACACACATCCACACAACATATCACGGCACAGTTGTCTCTGGCATTTCAGTGATTTAGAGCGTCATCCCTGGTTGCCACTAGCTTGAAACTGTGATCTTCACATATATGACACCTCAGCTCAACAAGGTCCATAGAAAAACTCAAGCACACACACACATACACACAGAAGGGATGCCTCTGCTCTGCTTCTCCTACCGTCACATTCTCACTTCCTGATTTAGACAGACAGAATCCAATCCTTTGGGACACAGACACACTTCTCTCTTTTGCTCCCTCGCTCCTTCCTCCATTCCTCCCCTTTTCTCGATCCGCTGCTCCCTCTCGTGGGGATGGAGGGAGGCGGGGTTGGAGGTTAGACAGATGGAGGCGGGTGATACACCGATACACATTCAGTCTCAGGTTTGCTCCTGCGGGAATGGTGTGATGGAGAGGAGGAGAGAGAAGGGGATGCAGAGGGAAAAACAAGGAAGTCTCACTCAGGTTTTTTTTTTACCATTCATGAGAAGACAGAGAGAGGTCAGGCAAAGTGCCACTTTTTAAACATATTAATGATGACATCTTGATATTGTATCATTTACTGTATATTCTGTATCAATCACCAAATAGAAATATTGCACATGTCTTGGGAATCATATTTATTGTATACTCATGTCCCCCAAATTCAGCCTGACACAAGTGATATCTTTAGAAACTTTGGGATCTCCACTATAATTTGAAATAAAGTTCTGTGGAGTTTGAACTCTGAAACTTTAAGGTACTGGAAAATATGTCAGCTGTGGTTGATAACCTATTAGAATGTTTAACAATAGAAATATATATGGAAAAAACTAATAATGCCATCATAAGTTATATATATAGAGCACCAAGCTCGAACATGGAAATCTTCAAGGACTGGATGGAGTGTATGTTTACAAAAAAAAAGCAATAAAACCATTTTCATATGTAAGTATTTCAATATTCACCTGTTGAATCCTAATAAACATAAAATTACTGGTGAATTGATTAATACAATGTATGAGTCTATTTCCAATGTGCCACCCCATTTTGATAATATTTTTTTACCAATGATATTGAAAACAACACAGTGAATGGTTTATTGATTAATGATATGAGTGACCACCTGCCAGTTTTTACAGTTTATGATTGCAATTATAGGATTAATAAGCCCAACAAGTGAACCAAATTTAGATGAGTGAGGTCAAAGGAATCCATTAACAACTAAATAAACACTTAAAAACTAAACAATGTTTGGCTGTGCACCACTAGTTTGTAATGACTGAGGGGTTTGAATGTCATTGCTCCACATATTT